GCACCATGATACAGCTCTATACCATGTGATATGCTCGTATGTAATACCAAACTATACCACCATGGTATAGACTTGTACTATATTTTTTATTCCAAAAATATATCAAAGTGGATATAATTTTGAAAAACACAATTAATATGTACAAAAAAAAATCCCACTTAAAACGAAAAAGATATAGTATGGTAAAATTTAGAAGGATAAATATTAGAACTCTTTCATAAATGATGATTTTACAGGTTATGCATGGTTATTCACCATAAAATTACGAAGAGAGGACCCCCGAAACACATCAAAGCTACGCCGTCAAAATGTCGGCGGGATAGCCCTACAAGAAATTCACAACTGAACGGGCAACATGATGGCTATCCTCGCTGCCCAATGTCCAAGTACTTGGACAACCATCATAATTTTTTTGGCTAATAACACCAGGAAATCCGAACTATCGAGAAAGTGTCACTTGTATCCCAAACTATTTAATATGATATTTATGTCCTGAATTATTTTCAGGGGCGGAGGGAGAATGGTCGGGAGGAAAATTGGTAAATTAGGTGTAATAGTTAATCGGGTATGAAAAGTAACACGTATTTAACTGAGAATTGTCGACCTTTCAAATATTTGATGATTGATTTATAAGTTGTGTATTGACATATTCAATGTTTTTATAATGAGTTATGTACGAATAGTAATGGTGCATATGATCCACCCAAAATTAAAGATGTATTTGTTCAATATCTCGAAAAATTTCCACAAAATCATAGCTAATTTATAAAAAGGGGTAGGGAGAGTGTAACGGGCGGCTCCTAAGGAGAAAATGAGTAAATTAGTATAATAGTTAATTGAGAATGAAATTTAAGACACTTCTAATTGAGAATGGTTGACCGAGAGACATGTGTTCAAATCTTGACGACCTCATTTGTTAACCACATGATATTCGGATTTGTGAAAATTTTAAGCACGTACAAGTTGGTTTTCGTTAGCGGGGAAGTGTTAGTAAATACAAAATAGTATAAGTCTATTATTAAATCTTTCACAACAATTAATACTAAATGGTCTTGACGAAGAACAACATTCAAGAGTAAATGTCTAACTAAATCATTAATAATTGGTTGATACATATAGATTGATATTCTTGATAGTTTTGACATATATTTAATTTACCAAGTTTTTGTAAATACAAAATTATATCATGAATTATTTAAAACGCTAACAAAACTATTTTATCATATGTATTTTTTTTTTCTAAATGCACTCACCCTCGACAAAATTCTCGCTATATACGCCCCTGATTATTTTTCTGTTAGTGTTGACTGAGTTTGACCATCAATATTTAACAAAAAACTCAGTTAGTGTCGATGTGACATCTGCCATGAAATTTTAAATATTAATATTTCTTTATATTTTCATCTACAATGATTAAAATAAGAAAAATACAAAATTTGCCAAAATTCCCAAATCGTCTTAATCGCTCCGTCGATTTCGCTCCTAAGTCAACATTAGTCTATCAACGTCTGGTCAATCGTTATCTATAGCAGTTAATAGAATCGTCACGACATAAATGACACACAGCTATTATATGTTGGACATAAATGGAATATTGAATATTTGGTGACACAAATGACACTTTCTTAATAGTTTTGCTAGTTTTTTTTTTTTTGTGAGATAGACTGATGACCATCATATATACATATTACATCCTCTTCAATGACATGTTGAAAACCTCATGCCGTGTTCGGGAGGAGAAGAGCCCTAACTTCGACGTGGCTGCTGATTTGGAACCAGGAGAGGATCAGGCCCATCAATATCGCGAATCGGAATTAAGCCCAATGCATGTTGACCCAGTCTCTGGGCTCTCATAAGCGCAATTGCAATCCTCATCAGCCCGCCAACCCAAGCCATGTTGCCCTTCACTTTACCCTAGCAAAAAAGGAGCCATAAATTATAGGTAGTATTTAATTGGGTGGCTCCTCCAAGTTGCGGACTATTTTTTTTTCATAGATAGATTGTAATAGATAGAGTAATACAATGCGGTGGAAATAAAAAAGCGGTAGTCAAAATGATCGTTTGTATCACGCGATGGGCAGCCCTGTTAGTACTACGAAAAGCAAACATAAAAGATACAAATGCAAAAGAGGTCTTGAGCAATTGTACTTCTTCAAACACCGCGCCACCGTGATCATGATCGACATCATTCATACTTGCAAACCAAGGTCCGGTAACCTGTGAAACAAATGAAACCAATGCTACTTCCCACAAATTCATAGGTTAGACTACACAACTCAACAAAAGACAATAATACCAATCTGCCTTACTGCCACTTGCTCCCCTAGCCATACAAATCAACGAAATAACCTAGCTAATGAACAGTGAGTTAAACACAAATACGTTATCTAAGATGTAAGAAAATAACATAAATATGCAAAGGCATAAAATTATGCAGTTTGAAGCTAAAAAAGGGGGTCTTCTCGGTGAATAAATAACTTGATTAAAAAAATTGATAAATAAGTGAAAACATTTGGGACTTTGGGAGGTGGGAAACGTGCATGGCCACGAATAGCAGCATGGGAATGTAACTGCAAAGAAAAATGGAACCGCCGCCCAAAATTCTTATTGCCGCCGAAAGGACTCGCTGCCAGCCGAAACTACTTGCTATAGGAATCCAGATCACAACTCTTTTGAAACCCCTGCAAAAAGGCAAAATCCACTGGAAAAGAATTTGATGGATGGAGGGAAAGGCATGGTCGGCGATGCACGATGGCGTAGGCAGCAAACTGCTCGAGCGCACGATGGCGAGAGAAAGAGCAATGCAGGTTCTCCTTCCAGAATCGATGATCTGTAGTTGAAAACCTATTTTTGTTCTTTAAAAGCGAAAGCCGCTGTCGACAGATCAGGGCCTGCGCAGAAAGAGGCGACCAAAACCTCGATCCTTAACTCGGAATCTGTTTTCCGGCAAGGAAAAACTTGTTGTTGAACTCAATAAATGCACCTTGACTTCTCGAACAACGATTAATAACACGGTTCACACCTCTCCGAACAATGTTCGAACAAGGGTGTTTGATGATTTTGATGGCTGATAAAACTAAGTTAAATTACTTCTACTCCTATGGAGGTTTAGTGAGAGCTCCAAGAACTAAAAGCTACAACTATGGCTACATTGCAGAGAAAAGATAAGTTTGACATGTGGTGTCAAATGGTTGGTTAGCGAACCCTTTTCCCGTCTTCGTTTCTCCTATTTATAACCACTAGGAGTAACTGCTTTGGTAACCGCCTTGGTAACTGCTAGCCGTCTTGTTGCTCCAACCGCCTTAGGGACCCCTTTTCGTTGCCTTGGTTGCCAATTGGTAACCGTTGTCTTGGTCTTCACCTCCATTGCCTTGGAGCTCCTTGACCCGTCTTGTTGAGTGGTTGGTATCCATCGCCTTGGAGGCCCTTGTCCCGTCTTGGGGTTGGTGGGTACTTGATGGCCTCGATGCCGGGTCGGGTTGGTGTTGAGCCTTGTCGCCCTGTCATAACTGGATGGGGTTGAGGTTATTTGCCTTAGCCTCCAGATGAAGTCTTGATCGCACCCTCGGCTGCTTGATGACTCCCCCACTCTTGTCGTCTTGAGACCGCTACCATCTCATGACACCAAGTCCTCCTCATTAACTTGTTGGTTGTCACCAAGCCGTCTCATCGGCTTGATACCTTCCGGCATGCCACCAAGTCCATGTAATCAACTTGACACCCCTTGCTAAGGTGGCTTGGTCTCCATACTTAGTTTTTGTAGCCTCGTCAAGTGGTAAGTTGCACCTTGCCGGTTTGGTACCCCGTGAAGGTGCTATCAAGCCCGTCATCCTGGTCGATCCATCCATAGTTGGGTGGCCACCTCAGCTAGTCACCATGCCTTAGTCGAATTTCTTGTCTTGTTGGCTTGATACCCTGATGTCTGGCTATCAAGTTCGTCTTGTTGGCTTGATATCCAGACTTAGTTTCTGTATGACTCTCTTAGTTGGTGCCTGGCTTGGCCCCCTGTTGCCTGGCCACCAAGTCAGTCTTGCCGGCTTGATACCCCTGTGGGGTCATGGTACCCTGTCGCATTGCTTGGCTGCCAAGCCTGTCATGCCGACTTGGTACCTTGTAGGGGTCTTGGTACCGAGGTCGCCTTGCCCGCCTGGTACCCCCTTAGCTCCATACTTAGACAATTTTATATCTTTTAGTATCAAGCCTACTTTGTCGGCTTGATACCCCTTTTGCTTCATACTTAGCCAAATTATATGTCAAAGTACGAAGCCTTGCTTTGCCGGCTTGATACCCCGTCATTGACATCCGGTCATTTGGTACCCTGTTGTGTCACCTTGTTTCCAAGACTTAGTTTTTGGATGACCTCCTATTTGGTATCCGGCTTGGTACCCGGCCGTTTGGCACTCCGTTGTGTCGCCTTGTTTCCAGACTTAGTTTTTGTAGGCCAAATTTCATACTAAGGGGTGGAGGCATCTTCCGGCTATGGGGGCCTTGGAGACGGGTCGGCCATCGTATAGAGGAGAAGGGGGTTGACCACTTAGGTCCAAAAATCTAACCCAACTAGGCCCAGCTGGCTCTTTTAATAATTAATGTTGAGCTGACCTTATAAATTCATTAATCCCTTGTAATCAATCGATGTGGTACAAGCTGATTTTTTTATGGGTAAACAGAATCATTTTTTCTTGCCGCCGCAGATGTCGTCCGTCCTCGCTGCTGCGGGAGAGAACCAGAGGGCGACTCTTCTTTTCCTCGGAGAAATCGGTATTGAGAGTATGTTCGAAGGAAGATGGACGGAGCTAGTGATGCCCTCTCGCTCGCTAATTTAACTGCGGACTATTTCCTTTTCTCGCACACCACTAGAAAAAAATTATAGCTGCCGAATTACTACAAGAGAAAAAAAGGAGCAAAGTTGAAAAGTGGATCGACATGCAGATGCAGCAAGTAAAATGCCAAACCGCCAATTGCGGAAGTCCTGATATACATCATACGAGACCAAATTGTTGCTCCGTTATAATTTCATTTTTCTTTTTATTTTTTTTCATTTTTCTTCATCTTTCTGTCCCTGCCCCTCCCCCTTTGTCTTCTCCCCAGATCCACATTTATCTTCCCCAGAAAGTCAGAAACACCCATAAACAAATAAAAAATGGATGCTCACTAAAAAAAAATAAGATGATCGGAAAACACAAAAGACACCACCGTCGCCACCATGAGAACCTCCGATTTGAGTCGAATACTTGGAACCCAGAAGAATCTGGCCTGAATTTGGAGGATTTTCGGCCCCTTCGATTCTCGCCTTCCTCATCTCCCTCTTCCTCCGCTCGTCTCCCATCGGCGATTCAGAACCCACCAATCGTCTCCTACCGCCCGCTTCCATTCATCGTCGCGGTCCTCTTCTACCCACGCGAAGCGCTTCAAGGGGCCGTCGACGCGAATTCCGATTCGAAATCGACGATTTGTCTCCCTTCCCCTCGATCATTGATTTCCAGATCCAGGCCTTCGCCACGAAACATTCATCTCTTTCCATATTCGTCGACGTCGAAAGATGGTTTGGTGAGGTCGACTTCGTTAGGTCGACGAGGTTGTCTTTGGGAAGGATGACTCCGGCCCTAGATTCTGGTCGAGGATATGTGGAAGATAACGTTGGTGGCGATGCAGTGGATAAGAGGGGCAATGGTTGGAAGAAAAAAAAATGATTAGGGTTTTTTTGGGCTCTGATCGAAAAGGAAAGAAGGGGAGGGGATAAGGTGGGGATGGTTGCCGAATGTTTTTTATTTTTTCTTTTATTATTAAATTTTATAAAAGAAATTTAAAAATAAATTATAATTTTTTCTTTATTATTCAATTTTATAGAGGAAATAAAAAGAAAATTGAAATTATAATTTTTTTTGGCTGACATGCAGTGACCTGGACAGTTGACCGTCCAAACAAACGGTCAAACCACGCTCCAGGCCAATTCTGTCTATATGCTGCATAGTTTAGGCTATGATGTTAATTTCTCAAATCACGGGTCAAAATTGATTACATAGTCATAGTTCATGTCATAACAAGGTACTAGCGTGGGCCTCGACCAATTGGCCAGAGGAAGGTGAGGTATGAAATTTGATAATGTAATGGGGTGTATAGCTTATTGTTGTATAGTTTTTTTTGGGAAACACGTGATAAAAATAGTGAATTTTAGCAGGAAAGAGACATGAATGATGCAACGAATCAAAATTCGGCCTTATGAACCAAAATTAAGTACATGTTACCTTGTGAAACAATATTGTTTCTGGTAATATGATGAGGTGGAGTAAGTTTTATAAAAACCGAATTCCAGAAAATCGAATAAAATATTGCTTATCCCGTCGGTTTTCGGGAAATGAGCATCTCACAATCGTTGCTAGCTTTTACTCGTCCCGTTGGCCGTTTAATTTGCTTTATAAACTTTCATCTTGTCGTCATTGTACTTTCTGGTTTTTGTCAGACCATGATAAAATCTAAGGAAATCAAGAACGAACAACACGATTTGGGAAAGGAACCGCCGTTGTCGTATCCCTAGAAAATGGTGGTAAACACGGACTCACCTGCCAAACTGGTTTGGATTGAGATTTTTATCGGGTATCAGGGAACCATGTAATTATAAATTAGACTTGATCAAAACGGGCCAAAACTTGAAATTCAGCCTGTTTGACCAACTCATGCCAAATTCTAATTATTCTTTACTTTTAAACTTTCTATTTGAAAATAAAAAATAGTGAAAGAAAAGAGATGACTGCAATTCGCCATTTGCATATCACTTATTTAGGAATAAAACCATAGAAATTCAAAAGGAACTGAAAATGTTTAGGATCTTTTTAATGTTTAAAATAAACAAATAGATCTTTCTGTTTAGTTTTTACTAACAAATACCAAACGATTCCCTATAAAATACACTATAATTTGATCATTATGATATCAAATAATTACATAATATATATTTGAAATGATTAAAATTAGACTAATTGGGTTGGTCAAGGTTAAACCATTGAATAACTTTAAAATACATTATATTTTAGCTACTAAGATATAAAATAATAGCATAATATATATTATGCCAGAGAAAATAGCTTGTTTTAGAATGTCAAACCAATGATGTTTATTTGTTTTACTTGATGGCCAAATCCCGTGTAGGTCAGGCTTATTCAACTCTTTTATTTTATGGTTAGCGGTTAGCCCATTAAATACGATGCATTAATTTATTGTTAAATTTTTTATTTTTAGCAATAAAAAGAAGTATTGTTTTTGCCTTTTCATATATATTTTATCACCACGGAGAAATAAAAGGGCTTAAAAAAATTGACAATCCTGGACCCGTTTAAATTCGCATCTGTACGGTAAGTTGGCCCGTTCCACAGAGGAAAGAGAAAAAATTTGACACTCTCTATTCTACCCTTCCTACAAACGCTCCTGGAGCAGGGAATTTGAAATGGGGGAAAAGTTTTTTTCTCCCTTTTCCCCCTGCTTATATATGTTTTTAATTTAAAAAGATACAATGAATGTACTTAGTGTGACTGGTTATGATCCTTCTTTTCTTGAAAATGATCATGGTTCGAATCCCTGTAGGGACCAGGGAGAGAGGGAAGAAAAAGAAAGACCGAAAGGACAGAATTCGACTGTTTGTCTCTGCTCCTTGCTTCCAGGCAGAAGATCAAGAGATTCTCTCACTGACAAATGACAACTCCCCTTCCATAAATCAGACGAAACTACCCTTCCTCTCCTCCCAAATTCCTTTGCCCACCCTCGCTAACAGATTCCATCACTACAGTCAAAGATACTCTCCCCGCTTTCCTTCACTGTATACTCTCACTACCTAACTTCTTCCCATGGCGGCAGCGGCTGTCAGAATGCCGTCCTCGTGAAGTCAAGTTAAGAGGAAGTTTTCCGTTTCTCTCATCTTCTTGTTTTCTTTCTTTCTATTTCTGTCTGCGGAAATGGATTTGACGGAAGGCGTCGGGGAGAGCTGTTCGCCACCGAGGACCTTTGGGAGTTTCGGCAACTATGATGTCAGGAATGACGTCTTCAATCGCTTGATTGAGAATGGCTACGACGAGGCCGTCTCTGACCCCGACCTCTTCCGCCTTTGCCTCGATGCTCATATCAATCGCCTCCCTGCTAGGTAACTATTTTTGTTTGCGATCATGGCTGCAACGTTCCCTTCCCTTTCCTGCTCGCTTTCATTTCTGGTTTAGATGTCTATGATGTGGATGATCGCTGGTAGCTAGAATCCGTGGCCACGTGTTTGTTACGGGGAGTTTAGTAGTTTGCTGCTTGCTAGTTTTTATTGATGATGATCTTTCTGTTACTTCTGAAGTCATTCTCTACAGAGAGCGGTAGGCTTGCTTCTCGGTTCGATCGGTAGTGTTTTGTTGTACGATTTGCAACAATTTTTTTGGCTGCTATGGCGGCAAGAATAGACTCCCGACTTAGAAGCAATGCACTCTTTGAGGGGTGTATTATGTGCTTGACCTTTTGGATATAGCTTTTAGGTACGACTGAATCCAAATGGAAAGTGAGTTGTTGCCTTGGCTTTGTAACTTTCTTAGTGAATCTTTCCTGGTACTGCAAAAGGAAATGATACTTTGTCTATGTAAATATTAAGAGCAGAAATTCTCAGACCTTTTCAGAAATGTAGTCTCCTTTTGTTTTATCATTTTCCCAAACGAGTTGGATATTGCCTTTTGGCTTGTATGCGATAGTAATAGAATGTGATTTTCCTCGCAGGGGGTGCTATGACATCTTGATAGGCCTTCTTATGTTTTTTTTTTTATGGTTGTAATTTCAGTTATGGCCTTGATGTTAACATGGATAGAGTAGAGGATATTATACTGCATCAAACACTTCTAGACAAGGCAAAGGATCCAGCGGAGTGCCCTGTTTACTATGGCGGTATAATTCCTTATGGTGGCCATCCATTTAATTTCTTTAATTGCTACGTGAACCTCCTTCTCTCTCGTGTTTGGAAATGAAGAATCAATTATGTTGTGACAAGCCAAACACGGTGGAACGATCATTTTGGAGAGCACTTGAGATGACACAAGTGTACATGTGGAAGGCATTGTATAAGAGTTTAGTACTTGATTGAAATTTAGACATTGGAACAGAGGTATTTCTGTGATAGGAGTATTCTGACTAATACTACATCTCAAGTTAATGGTTGGTAGCTTAATATATGCCAGTTCTAATTTCTAAGGTTATATATTTGTTAGCTGACAGCTGTGCGATGGCAAACTGATTCAAGTAACCATCAAACCTTTGTTCCATGTATCAAGATAGTATCTGTTTCTACTTTCATATATATATGTTAATTGCATCACCCGCTCCAAAAAGATACGGATGCTAAGTTATGTGATTTGTTTTTGAAACTGAGAAAGGGTGCATCTGTGAACGTCATGAGGGCTCCATTCAAATGCCTTCACTTTATTAACTCCAAAGTAGAAGCAATGTCCTCTTTAAGAGATTAATTAGATGATTTATTTGTCTGCTACTAATATTTTTCTCATGAATTGTTCTATAGAACCTTGGTACTGCTGTAAATGGGAACAACGAGGAACATCCAGGATCATTGTCTACATCAAGGCTAGCATCAAGTGCTGAAGATGAAGACGGCGCTCCGTTGCACAAGAGGTATCTTTCTATTCTTAAGTGTATGGTCTCTATAGATTCTTAATTCTTGAATGCAATTGTCATTGTTTATATGGTCACCCTCATTAGAGTCAGGGATGGAGTTGATTTTGAACCTTGCTCGAAGCTCGGGGATCTGAATTTGGAGAAGACGTCCAAGGACATGGAGGAGAGATATCAGTCTGATAGCCTTTCAAGAAGGTACTCCTCAATCATAACGTCATATTGTTTTAGATGATTGAGTTGTAGCTATTTGTGATTATCCTGTAAATTAGCTTTACTGTTTAATTGTGGTTTTAGATGATAAAGGTAATTTAAGATTTAGGTAGTGCTGACCAAAATGTAAGGTATAACTAGGAGATCCAGAATTTCTTGCTTAGTCAGCCCCTTGTTCTAAATTCACTTTATTCTGGCTGGGGAAATTAGGAAAGACAAAATTTGATTCAGATTGATTATGTTGAACTGATGCATATTTGGTGAAATTTTCTGTTCTCAATTGCAGGCACGAAAATGCTCAGGCTCCAGTACACTAAGTAATTTTTTCTACAATTGACAAGCCAAAACTTCTTAGTCAGGTATGACAGTCTTTGGACTCTCTGTTTGTGACTTATCTTCGACATTTTTAATGTGTAAACTCTCAATTTGTGTGGAATACTGAGACTGGCCTGTGGCATTCATGTTGATGACATCTTTTCTTGTAGCTCTCCGCTCTGCTTTCTGATATAGGAGTGAACATCCGTGAGGCGCATGTATTCTCCACGACTGATGGCTACTCTTTGGATGTATTTGTGGTTGATGGATGGCCAGTTGAGGTACCTGTCACTTCATTGTGGATTATGGTTATTCTTTGACATGCACCAATTCCTTGAAGATAGATTGATGAATTTGATCATAAGATTCTTTGTAGTTCTCCTTCAAAAATTTCTCTATGAACAAGTATATATGCTCCGTCTAATGAAATAAAGGCTGCTTTTGACTTAGTATCATGCGAACCTGAAGTCAACTTCTGCCTTTTCCATTTTTAAATCTATCTAATGGTCTATTTTTGAGGGACATTGTGATTAAATCTCTATGTCAGGGATCTCTGCTGAGTCCAAATGTTGCTGACTTTGCAATGTTGTGGTCAGGATACAGATGGTTTGACTGAGGCATTGGGAGAAACAATTGCTAGAGGTGAGGT